GCAACTTTTGCTGTGGTACTGTTTCCATCTGAGCACTGAACTGCTTTCTTCTCAGCATTTCTCCGCACCACCATTTCTTTTCCCAGTGGAGCTCTCCATCCCCAGGCCATTTCCCGCTGGGTTTGGGGTACAAGGCTCCGGTGCTCAGCCCACCTTGGCCAGCACTGCCATGGGGTCCCAGCCCTCTGACACCCCGTTACCCAGTTTCTCTGCTCCCCATGCTGCCCTCCCATTCTGCCCCTTCTGGAGCCTGCAGTTTGTCATTCTCAGGTCCTCAGCCAACTTGCGGGATCCCTCGTGGCTCTGCACGAGCTCTCAGGATAAATATTTTGCCTTCCCAAGAGCTGAGAGAGGGGGTCCCGCTCCCATCTTGGCTCCTGCCTTCTTACACCTGTACGGCTCCATCAGCGTCAGGAGCATTAATCCTAGCGCTGGGTTGCTGGGAGATCACACAAGCCTTACTGGAGACTCGAGCGGCAGGCAATGGCTCTTTCGGGATTCCTCGACTTCTCAGCAGAGCTGCTTTTCGAAAAGTCCCAAACCACGGGAGAAAGCCGAGTTTGGAGTTTGAAAGCTTTCTAAATTTTCTTCCTTATTTATTTTTTTTCTTTCGGTGCGTCGGTCTCAGTGGGATCAGAACAAAAGAAGAAATCAGAACGTAAAGCGTGGCGTTTGATGTGTTGATCAGCCGCAGTTTTGATGTTAGCATAATTGGATCACCGTTAGCGGCGGTTGTGAGGCGAGGTGTCCGGATGCAGCCGTGCCTTTCTCGGCAGCAGACATCCCACGCCTTCCCTTTCCCCGCTGCCGCCAGCAGCAGAGCGCAGCGCCCGCATCCCGCACTTTGCCGGCGGAGCCCCGCGCTGTGCCCGCACGGCGCTGCCCTAAGAGCCTCTTGTTTTCCGCCCGAGAAAGCGGTGCCCTTTTTTTTTTTCCCCCATGTTAACTTCTCAACAATCGCGGGGAATTTGTTCCATTGTTTTGTTTTGTTTTTCTTTTTCTTTTCTTTTTTTTTTTTTTCCCTTTTTTTTCCCCTTTTCTCTTTCCTCCCTTTTCTCTCTTCTTGATATTTTTATTTCCCTTTTATATGGAGACTTGTAGATTTTGTCACTTCAAACGTCCGCTGGTCCTCCTCTTTTCTTCTGCTTTACAATACGCACTAGGAGATTTTTTTTTTTTTTTTTTTTTTTGCATATTCCTCCCCTTTCTCAGTGAGATATTGTCGCTGACCAAATTTAAAACACTACAGTATTTAGGATCCCCGCGGTGCCATTTGAAGTATTTGGACCTGGAAAATGCCCCAAGCAATAACTACCTGAATTGCTTTTAATTACACGATATAGCTGCATCATTTTACTTCAGATTCTTTCTGATTGATGCTGTAAGGCAATTGTAACCATGGATGATGGGATTAAGTGCCTCTTGAAGTGACTTTAGCTTCTTGTGGGAACAAAGGGAAAGAAGAGAACACTTAGTCCCTTTTGGAGCGAACAGCCTTTTTTCACTTGCTGTATAAAGAAATACAATTAACAAACATTATCCCCAGAGGTGAATTGAAATGTACGTGCAGACAATAACTGCTCTTGACTGCAATTAGACATATATGATCCGAGGAATTTTGGCCATTCATTAGTGCTAATTGTTTGAGAAACAAGCCCACAGAACAAATGATTAAAATGTTAGTGCCATAACCGGGATTATTAGCATGTGTGATAAAATGCATGCGCTGCAGCTGTACCAATAAAACTCTCGGGAAAGTCGCTTTGATTTGACGAACGCTCGGCTTGGCTGTGAGCTGCTCGTATTTGCACAAGGCCTGCTGATGTTTATAACAAACAACTTCTCGCTTCTTTTCTTAATTAGAAAGAATTACCATGCAAATTGGGGCGCTTTGTAATTTCGCGCAACTCGCCTTTGTCTTCGGTGGATCGTTTGTGCGTGTTGGGGAGCTGCTCCCTTGCAAATCAGACATAGTCAGACCGCCGCGTTTAATTTGTGTGGTGGTGTGTTTTTTCACACATCAAACAATTAGCTGGAGGAGACTTCGCTATGTTAGCTGTGCTGCATTCAGGGTCGCTACTTATGATCTTTAGAAACTTGTTGCCTGCACAGTGCTGTAGGAGTGGAGATCTGGCCTACCAAGCCATGGGTATTTTCCCATCTGTTGGGCATGTGATGCTGTAGAGTCTCTTCTAGGATGATTGGGTCTGGCCAATAAACACGGAGCGGAGATGCAGGCTGAAGTGCTGATCTTGAGAACAACTTGTGGAAGTGCTTTACTTTCTGTGCTGCAATTTGTTGGCTCCAGTGAGAAGGCACAGGTGTGTGCCATTCAATATATGTGTGAGCACGAGCAGTGCTGGAATATGACGATGCAGAGTGCCTCAGGGGCATCGCTGTGCTTGTCAGTAATTTCGCTGGTTGCCGTCCCGCTGTATGGCTGCCATCGCAAAGTGCAGCTCTTAGTAATCCAAGTGCTTTTGTTTTCTCCTTCCTGAGGATGTGCTATTTGCTCAGTTCAGTTAAACTGTTCTCAGAGGATCAAGAGTAAGTTTAATTTGCTGGCTACTTCTACATATTTGATATAGACTTTAGTAGAATGTTGTTTGCAGAAGCAATGTGCCTTGATCACCAAGACCCACAAGCGTTCAACATATTCCTGGATGCTATGGATGGAGGAATACTGCGGTAAAACTATGCACTGAGCATTACCCAGTAGCCTAGTCCTTGTTTTAACTTAGAGTGCTTAATGAAAGAAACACTGTCTTAGCATATTCACCTGGCTTATGTCAGTGTATTTAGTTTTAAACACAGTCAAGCTTAGTTTGAATCATCAAAATACTTGTAGTCAGCAGACGTGTAAGATTTTCTTCCCCTTTACAGCATGGGGTTATAACAAATTGCATCTCCCCTTTAAAAAAGCGACCACACTGGGGATGTTCTCACTCCATCAGAATCACAGAAGATGATGATCAAGATAGCATTTGTTGCTGGAATAGCTAAACTATTAGTATGCATGCCACTGTCAGATTTACAAGGTTCTATAGGCAAGTGGATTTTGTTGTGGAGTTGTTCTTCCTGGGCAATTTGTTCTATTGCAGAACATAAAATTTGGCTATGCAACACAAATGTGCAGTGAGAATGGGGGTTTTTTAAGACTATTTGGCAAAATAATAGTGTCCAAAAATGTACCTCAGTATCCTTGATAAAAAGGATTTTATTTTGCACTCACATTTCTAGAGCTCTTTGTTTTGGGAAGAGAAGGTGTTGTGTTGGTCAGCCAATGGCAGTTCCTTCCATACACTCCAGTTTCAGAAAACGTCCTGAAAAAGCTACTTCATGTTTCATAAGACTATTAATTTGACAAACTGTCAATATATGTTTCCAATATTTTGTGTCCTAAGAAGCTTGTTTTTGAGCCCCTGGGGCTGCAAGTTGACTAACTGAGGAGAGCCCAACATTTTCTAACATTGAGCCCAATAGATTCGCAGATTAAATATGCTGCTTCTTGAAGGGGAGCCACATTGCTGCCCCATCTAGAAGGGTGTTCACAGACGTGAGTGGGGATATGTAGCTAAGGCTGCTCTACTGGCAGCGAGGGTTTCCTCATGCCATTGTGTAATAGGAGATATGTCTTCTCCTGGTGTGCTCTGAGAGGATGGTTTTAGCCACTCCTACCAGAGTAGGGTGGGTTGGAAGGCTGGTGGGAAGCAACGCCTTTGGGCACTATGGAGCTGAAGCCAGCAGAGACAAAAAATAGAAATGAATCACTTGTATCTTCTCATACATGTCTTGTGAAGAACTGCAGAGTTCTTTACTGACCTCTGTGTGTCACACTGAAAAAAGACCCTCTGCTATTGCACTTCCTCCTTGCTCTTCCAAAGTGTACTACTGCAAGAAAATGAGATTAAGCAGACTTAACTAGCAGCCACTTGATTTGCCTCAAGTTGTGTCACCACCCCCTCTTCAACACAAGGCTGGGAATGAGGAATGGTTTGTGGGAGAGGAGCAAGGAAGGTGCTCAGGAGAAACTCAGCTGGTGCTGATTATCAAGATCTCCAGCATCCATGTTTTGGAGCTGCTGCAGCTAGAGATAAGATTAACTAAGGAGGCTAGTGGCACAGTTTGTAACAAACAGTGAAGCATTTCTGTTTAACAGCAAAGCTACCATGTTGCTTAGGGTGAGACACATTACAAGGAAGAGATTGGTGTGAGATTTTTGTGGGCTCAAGAAGTGAGTCCACCCAGGATAGGCAGAGACCTGGCAGAGGAGCTAGTGGAGTAATTGTCCTTTTCTGATTAGTTTTGCTGAGATAAAATGTAATTAAAGTTTTCTTTGTGTTTTTAATTCAAGATCTGTCTTTCAGGATGCCAAGTCTAGGGGGAGGGAGAATGCATTGGTAGGGTTAGTTTAGAAAGTGGTCTGTCAGCAAGGCATCACACTGGCTCTGATGTAGATTGACTGAACTCATTTCCAGATGTTTGAGAGGGTTAGTCACTTTGGAAAAAAGCCTTGTGTGCATGTAGTTGTGTGTTACTCAGATGTAGCGACCTGGGAAATATTATTAAGAGGGACATAGGAAAATGCATGGGTCTCTGACGTGATGTGATAATGACATATTCAGTGTGGTGCTAGAAAAGCTTTGCATTATTCAAAGTGCTGAATAATATACATGATAATGCGTAACGGGGTTGGATTATGGTGGGATTATTTTGTGACTTATAAGTGACTTGTGCACGGGCTATGAAGATGAGTTGTGTTATTTTGTCCTCAGTTTTGATGTAGCAGAAAATGTCTGAGGGGTACAGCTTGAAATAGGTAGAAGCAGGGCTAGGGTAGAGCAAGGGCTTTTTCTGAAAGGCCACGAAATGCAGCGGTGCTGTCTGCAAAATATTTCTCTGTGCCTGTAATTACGGAGCAAGGCAAGCTCCCTACTGTGCTTGAGGCCAGCCTCTTTCAGCAGCCCTGCTGCCTCTGAACACACAACACCAGATTTGGGATGGGTAGGCCACAGCCTCACCAGGAATGATCAGCATGGAGTGGAGACCACCACAAACCCAACACCTACAACCACTCAGGTGAAGCCCACTCAAGCCCTGTGGCACTGCAGGCTCATACCTGTGCTGAAGTGTGGGGCACGAAGCCTTTATAAGCATGAAGAGATTCTGTGGCCAGCTGGCCTGCTGATGATGCTGGTGGGCTTGTTAGCTCTGCCAGCATTCCTGGTTTTTCTCGCTTCCCTCTCCATCCATTTTGCTTATTTAAAATCCGCATGAAAATACGTTTGTTGAAATAATACTGAGGTTGCAAAATCAACCTTGCAAAATGGTGTTTGTTTAACCAGCCTTCCTTCTTCATTCACAGCATGCCATCCAGCTCCTGCAGCACATGTGGCAGGGAGCAGCCCCTGTCTTAAAGCAGCCCTGACTTGCTCCCATCACAGTCTGTGGAAGAATCTCATGGCAGGGGGGAAAAGTAAAATAAAACCTTACTGTACTTGTCATGGGGCACAAAACAGGCAGTGCAATTAAGGCCACATGGATAACCTCAGCCCTGACATTTCTTCAGTTCTGGGTGTTATAGTTTGCGACTTCTGTTGAACATGGTGTTTTGAGGGTTTTATACCATAATTACCTTTAATACTGATATCTCCCTACCTTAGCTATAATACTAATATTTCCCTACCTTATCTCTTCCTGAGAAATAAATTCAAAAGGCCACTATCTAGATAGGAAGGTTTCAGTTTTAGGATATCGTCAAGTACTCTTTTAAGAGCCTAATTTCAACTTTCTCCTTTACAGGCTGAGTTCTCTGCCAGCTGGCGTCCCCAAGCTGAGCTATCGCTTTGCATCATCTCACAAGTACATTCCCAGGAGAGCTGTGCTGTATGTACCTGCGGATGATGAAAAGAAGATACAAAAAATCCCATCACTAAATGTCGATTGTGCGGTGTTGGACTGTGAAGATGGCGTGGCTCTGAACAGAAAGGTAATTAAAAATTATCTGTGCAATACAATCAGCGCTAACTTGGATGTGTGGGCAAATATTGCCTTTGCCTAAGGGGAAGTGGCAATCAGACAAAGGTAGATCTTAAGATATACAAAGTACAGTGATGGTGATAGGTTTTATGGAGGTGTTGGAAAATGTGCTTACCCAGAACTGCAAGAGATGGCTCCTAAGTGGGAAGCGAGTTTTGAAGGAACGCAGGGCTGGGCATAAGCACTCACTACAGGAAAGTGGGAGGTGCCATTATTTTTGCTACATATTTCTTGTAGAAAAAGAGGAAATAGACTGTTAGAAGAGAAGCAGGGAAGGAAGAATTGGCTCACAGACATCAAGCAGGAATTTTGTTGTTAAAACAAAAGCTTCAGATTGCAAGCAAGTTTGGTTTCAGGCTTGAGCCTTGGTGTATTTAGAAAGATTTACTCACTGACATTTTCAGAGGAAATGTTGGTGGGTTATTTCTGAATAAGTCAGAACCCAAGTCCACCAGGGACTGAAGGGCATTTTAGATCCAAGGAGCTGCAAGAAAGCAGGCAGAGTGAGAAATAAATGTAGACGTGTGAAGTACCAGTGCTAAGTTTTTGATGATATTTGATTTTGTGAGAGAGGATGATCCAAACGTGCTTTCATCTATCCTTGCTGGCAATCTTTTTAAAGTATCTCAAATGAACCATTAAAATGTTTCACATCTCAAGTAATGCATACCAGAAACTGGTTTGAATCTTTCACAATGCAAGGTATTTTGGAACTGGAATATGAATGTGCCAAAGCATCATCTTCGTATTTGTAAGTCTTACAGTACATTTTACAGTACCTCAAACAAAGGCAAGCACTACTTAGGGTTTAGGTATTAATTTGTTGTCCAGACAGTTATGAAAATAGGCTTGAAAATTTTTCCAGGTAATTTCAAAAATGTGGATGAAATTTTATTCTTTTCAGTTTCTTGGGAGTTAATGCTTTCCAGAAGGACTCGATTGGGTAGCGTTCCCTTTAACTTCCAGGTCTTCTTTACAAGTATGTTGAAAAGAAAAATATTACAGAGTTTTCACATAATAATTCTAGCTCTGAAAAGTGAAAATAGTGCTGCTGAATGTTCATGTGCACTGATGAAGGCAGATGGAAAACATTTTCCAGTTGCTAAAATTCTGTGTAAAAGGCTAAAATTATATCTGCTGTCACAGTGAATTAGTGTTGTTTAGTTCATGTTTGGAAGGCTGGTACTGTAAAATGACACAAGACACAATCGTGTGTTAAAATAGCATTTTTAGGCACAGCTTAATTATGTGAAACAAACCATTTATAGCAGAGGCATCAATTTCTAATACAGGATGACAGCAAAACGAAATTTTATGATCAAGGTGACAAATTTGATAGTAGTAATTTCTAAAGGGTGATAAAATTCTACCTTTGTTGAAGTGAAGGGGAGCTGTGCCACTGGCTGTAAGATTTCAAAGAAATTAGGAGAAAATTATGTAATACAGACTGGAGGTGACAGACAAGCCCCTGACTGAGCTTAAATGCAAACAAGAAGCAGATAGGAGGTAAAAGTAGGGGCAAGCTACCAGAGAGCAGCACAGAACTGCTGTCTGGGCACGCAGGGACAGAAGGTAGAAGGTCAAAGCTTGGCTGGAATCTAAACCGATGAAGCTTGAGCAAGTCAGCAAGAATGGCTACTAGGAGTTTATCAGTAGCAAAAAGGAGAAGAAAGAGCAGGTGAAGTGTGGACTCACTGCTCCATGAAGCCTCAGGCTTTACTGTCAGTCTGCTCTCAATCCTCCTGGGGCATTTCTTAGAAGCAAAATCTGTGGCAGCAGGACATAGCCACAGTAGAAGAGGATGAAGTTAGGGTCTGTTTCAGCTGGTTTGTGGGACCAGGCAGGGTGCACTGGAGACTGCTGAGGGAGCTGGCTAGTGCCATCCTGAAGCTGCTGTCAGTCGTCAGTGAAAGGTCATGATGGCTGGGGTGGTTCCTGATGCCTGGAGAAAAGAAAATGCTTACAGCCATCTTCAGAAAGGGTAAGAATGAGGAACCACAGGCCCATCAAGCTCTCACTAGTGGTTGTGAAAGCTGTGTTGCTGATCCTCACTGCAGTTATTTCATAGCCAGAATCAACTGATCAGGACCAAATCATGCCCAATGAATCTCTAAATAAATGATCATGTTTTAGTACGAGAGATGAATAGAGGTCTACCTTGACTTTGTGAAGACTTTGGCATGGCCTTACACAGTATCCTTGGTAAGCCTGAGAAGAAATGGACCATGTGGACAGAGTGTAGGGTTGGTGGCAGTTTGCCTGGACGTGAGTGGTGCGTGCTGTGTATATTTTGCAGTTGCCCCTTGTGGGGCAAATACCATGAAAATCTTCATCAACAGCCTGGTTGATGGGATGGAGTGCACTTTCAGCAGATTCATGATCATAGCAAATTGGGGTGCAGTTGATAAGCTGGAAGGGGCAGCTGTTCTTATGGGGCTTGGCCTTCAGAGGAATTAGTTGGCAGAGACATAATGAAGTCCAGCCAAAATAAAAGTAAACTCAGAATCATAGAATTGCTTAGGTTGGAAGTTGGCCTTCAAGAACATCTTGTTTCAACTCCTCTGCCATGGATGGGGTTGCCAACCACTAGACCCTGTGATCTCAAGGACAGGCTAGGGGCACAACTGCCTTAGTGCAGCTCTTCAAAGAGGCCCTAGCAGTAGCTGTTTTAATTGCAGCTGAAGGGGTTTCAGCAGCGCATCCTGTGGCAAAGGTTGCCTACTGCCTCAGAGCCATGCTGCCAGGGATGCAGGCAGCTGGTGCAGGGAAAGGGTTCCTCACCCTTCATTGGGATGGTGAGGTGAGCAGATTGTGCCCAGCAGGAGGCCCCAGGACAAAAGAGGCACTGAGAAATAGGAGGGAGCCTGTGAGAGGCCACCAAGACGGCCATGGCACAGGGGGCGAGGCTGAGGGAGAGGAATTTATCTATCCTGGTGAGGAGAGAGCAGAGGGGACCTTGGTGAGGCCCTACTTTGATCAGGAGGATGGAGATGTTCTACTGAAGTCTCTTCCAACCTATGAATTAGTCTGTGTGATGCACGACCTAGTAGCAAAGCATAACTCAAAGTGATTGGAAGATCGAACTTCATTTTTAGATCTGCCACAGGTACTCAGGAAGACTTTGACTATTAGGTTCTGTGAATGCGAAGCTGAAATTATTACTGCTCTTGCTGCTTAATATATTAATGTTTCTGAGGTGTTTGGAGACTTTATGTGAAAGATATGTCAAGAATATGCACTGAAGTACTGTATTCAGTGGCCCGTTGCAAATGGGTCGTCTAAAACTGAGAAAAAAATACTCAGCAACACTGAGTTTGTCCTTTTGATTCATTATTCTTAAAATAAATAGTGCTGATGATTTTTGCTGTTTACTGCCATGTTTTGTAACAATAAAAATTCCACCTGTGAATTTTCTTGAAGCTACTATTAAATGTTAGGGCTTAGGAAAGTAAGAACCTGGCTGAAGGTTCACAGTGCTTTGGGCCAATTTCACCTGATTACACAGGGTCCTTGCTTTAATCATATCCAAGCAGCAAATTTGAACAACACCTCACCAAGTCTGTTTTACAAGACTCTGTGTGGTGCACATTCAGATTAAGCTAGATTCAGGTAGATCAACGATCTGGAATACCAGCAGTTCCATTTGTTTTAAAATGAAAAGTCATTTCCAAATGAGAAATGTTGCAGTCTGAAGTCATAGAAGTGGAGTCATAGAGTCATAGAATCATTTGAGTTGTCAGGAACCTTTAAAGTTCATCTGTATGTCAAACTGCAATATTTCTGTAGTATCCAACCTGTTTGTCTTTTTTTTTTCCTTAACAAGACAGTGCCTCTCTCTATCCTGCTTAAGCAGCAGTCTTGATGTCAGGGTCTCTGCAAATATGTTTCTGAAACATCCCGGAACCCCAATAATTGCCTGTATTCAGCTGTGTATTCAGTTGAGAGCATATTCTGCCTCACCAGGTAAAAAGGTGTTGGAAGAAAGAAAAACTAATTGGCTGCAGAGTTCAGGTTTCTTGGAGGAACATCTTTATTTCTTCGCACCCAATACTGCTGTTGGGGGCAGGTAATTACAGCTTGATTGTCTGCAAAGTAAAGCCATATGCAAGTCTTTGCTCATTTTGAGACAGTAGCTTCATGAGCAGTTCAGTGATCAGGGAACAGCTGGCAGGAAAGCAGCCTCCCTTGGTTATAGCATTTTCTTTGTAACTTCCTCTGCTTAGTTCTTCCTCATCCTCTAGCATGAGTCCCTTTCCAGGTTCCTCTGGACTTTTGCCTGTGTCTTCTGCTTCCCAAAGTCTTCTCTTCCTCTAACCTTTGGTCATAGCTCAGTAGCCTCTGGTCTCATCACTTAATAAATAGCTTTCCCTCAATGTTAGTTTTTGTTCAGATTTGCCAGAATGTTAACCCCAGTAGTGGTGTTAGACCTAATTGCCCTTTCATACTAGGGAATTAAATCCTGCCAACAATATACAGATATTTATCACTCTTTGTCCTAAAAAAAATTTGACATACAAAGCTTCACATTTCTCATGTTTTTTACAGTACAGGTAAAAAAGCAATCTCTTGGATTAAATATATGTTTAGGAAACTTCTGTGGGATCCCCCAACATGAAACATTTCATTTGAAATTGAGCAGTGTTGCTGTTTTTCCTCTGAAACTGAAGAGATCGTCTTCATCCAATAAAAGTTATTAATATTCAGGGCTGGACTCTAAAATGATGTCGGACTGATGAGAGTTTAAGTTCTTTTGCTGTGAGACAGGATTCTATGACTTTGTGTTTTGTAGGAGGAAGCTGCCTGCTCCTTCAGCGCCTGAGCGATAGAAGCTGGGGAAGAGGAAGCTGTACTCCATCTTTCCTCTCATCTCTGCCTTCAGCAGACAAACAACAAGCCCTGAGCCTTCCTGCTCTCCCTGTGCTCCTCAGCAGTGAGGGAAGTTCAGTTTGG